CTCCACCACTTGTGGGATAATCTTTAAGGGTTTGTATGCGAACATTATTCTCTGCCATCCATACGAGTGCGGCACAGGTATCCCCGCCATCACATCCCCTGTTGTCTTCTGTGGCACAGTCTATGAATTGTTGGACACTATATTCCCGTAAAGTTTTAGTCTTAAGAGCAACCATTGTTTCGATGGTCTCGACGATAGAGTGGGCCCAACACGCGCCACATTCTCCTGTCGGTTGCCAAACAATTAATATTAGTATAAAATTTCTATATTATTGGTTAATAATTGTATTGAACCTTGATTTCTGACTTTTGTGACCGCATTCTTCTCCCTATAATCCCATTTCTGCGGCACATCTTTGAGATGATCTTTCAAGTCATCGGAAGTGAAAAATGATCTTTTGGTCGTTGAGTGACTTTTTTGCAATGAATTTGATTTAATTTGTTTTTGGACTAAAGAAATACAATATCAAAAGAATATACCGATAAAAGTATATTTACAAACTTTATAGTTAGTTAAATAGATTTATTCGAAACATTGATCACGTTTTCAATAAATTGATGAAAATATTTGTAAATTGAATTCAAAAATTACTTATTTGTTGAAATTCTTGAGGACTGAGATCAGAGAATTGTGTGATTCCATAGAAAGCACTTCTGGCACTTTCTCTTTGGCTGTTTAACCACTTTATGTGATTCAAGGAATCCTATATACGAAAGATGAAGAAATAAAAACTTTTTTACAGACATTTAATTCAGTTTACAATTAAATGCAAAACAAAACTGAATTTAATATAAAATCAAATAAACCTGAAAAATATCAAGTCTTCTGTAGTACTCTTTGTTGTCATTTCTATAAGTTTTGTTATATTTATCAATAAATTGTTCAAACTTTTCATTTGATAAATTGTTTTGATTTGAAATTATAATTCCGTTTATTATTAAAACCATAAGAATAGACATTTTGAACCAAAAGTCAAAACTTTGTGTCAACTTTTCATTAAGAAAAAAGTTATCACATATTTATTAATTGCTTTTTCCACACATTTATCGCATTATCTTCTGATTAGACAATCATTTAAATGCAAACTCAGGACTCAGTTATCACTTCTCACCACTTTTTGAGATCAATTACACAACCATTTGATGTGATTTCAAAGACATCTTCAGACATGGGATGTGAGCGTCGACTCGAAAACCGTTCACCACTTTGTCGTCAAATATCAGTTCAATCCAAACATCTGTCCATTCATTCAAATAATGAGCCAAAACTGATTTGCTCTCCAAATACTCTCATCTGATTGGCTCTACAAACGACATCTGTTCCCAAAACACAGACAATCATTGGCTGGCAGTGAATGACGCCATGGATGACGACATGACAGCCCAACGACAGCCACAGCACAGACTCCGCACGGATTGAATCGCAACTGAAGAGTAATTGAAGTGAATATTTAATGTTTGGTTCATTTGGGAGACAAACACAACGAGTCATAAACAGACAGACCATTGACTTAAAGCCAAAACTGTTGTCCAAATCGGGAACCAATACAAGAATGAGCGCAAATCACTGCACCGTTGAGTCTTCGGCTAAACAGACGGCAACCGTTCGTACAATTGTTTTCATCACTTTATTGACCATTTGTTGAATCATCTGTTGATTTATAGATTATATTTCTTCATGGATTGGGAGACACCGGGAAGGGTTGGATCGATACCATCGCTATTCAGACATGGGATGTGAGCGTCGACTCGAAAACCGTTCACCACTTTGTCGTCAAATATCAGTTCAATCCAAACATCTGTCCATTCATTCAAATAATGAGCCAAAACTGATTTGCTCTCCAAATACTGTCATCTGATTGGCTCTACAAACGACATCTGTTCCCAAAACACAGACAATCATTGGCTGGCAGTGAATGACGCCATGGATGACGACATGACAGCCCAACGACAGCCACAGCACAGACTCCGGACGTATTGAATCGCAACTGAAGAGTAATTGAAGTGAATATTTAATGTTTGGTTCATTTGGGAGACAAACACAACGAGTCATAAACAGACAGACCTTTGACTTAAAGCCAAAACTGTTGTCCAAATCGGGAACCAATACAAGAATGAGCGCAAATCACTGCACCGTTGAGTCTTCGGCTAAACACACGGCAACCGTTCGTACAATTGTTTTCATCACTTTATTGACCATTTGTTGAATCATCTGTTGATTTATAGATTATATTTCTTCATGGATTGGGAGACACCGGGAAGGGTTGGATCGATACCATCGCTCAGATCAGACCACCGTTTGCTAAATGCATTTGTCCGACAGCGTCAGTACCGCTTCCTCTACCCATTCAGACATTTGAAATTTGATTACATCTTAACGTTTGAATGAATATATTTTCGCAGTCAAGTGATGCCGGTGTCCCTAAACGGTGGTTTCCCAATGCCCTCGTGGTTTGATCTCTTTTCACTTGAATCCGATGCTCGGGTCGATGAAGAGGGCATCAAAAGAGCCACAGTTCTGGTCCACGAGTTGATAGCGAAAGAGGAAAGGTCTGGAATAGCGGCCAATCGTATAGTATTGGGTGGTTTCTCACAGGGAGGGGCACTCGCGCTGTACGCGGGCCTCACTTATCCCAAACCTTTGGGCGGCATTTTGGGATTCAGTTGTTGGCTTCCGAAACACCAACAGATGCTATCACTCATTAACGATAACAAAGAGGTTCCGGTCCTTCAATGTAAGCAATTTTCAAGTCTATAAACGTTGTTGTATTTCATATATTAATCTTATGATCCACTGAATAGGTCACGGAGACAGTGATCCACTCGTAAGTCTGTTTAGAATATAGTATTGCTGTTGCGGTTAAACATGATTATAATGTTTAGGTTCAGACCCGTTGGGGCCAAATGACTGCTGATGTCCTCTCGAAGACACTCACTAAATATCAATTCAAGATTTATAAAGGAATGGCTCACAGCTCTTGTCCTGAGGTATGTATTCCTATGTTTTACTACAGTATTGTTGAACAGAATCTATAAAAACAGAATCTCAAACTCATTTAGCGTTTGTGAGCTTTCTTTGCTTCCGAATCTAAAGTGTAATCTAAAATTTAGATTAAGTTAGATTAACAAGTAACTTGTTTTATCACAAGTCATTCATTTTCATATCAATTTTCATTTAATTTTCCTTTTATTTAATATAATAAACCGATTTCACAATTGGTTCAATGATTATGCAAATATTAAAACATATAAATCACTGCATAATACTGTACAGTATACATGTATGCATTATACTGTATAATGTGAATCACATTATGTGATAACTAACTTATTTTACTTTTTACTCAAAAGCCTACAAAATAAAAGATTAAGTGAAATGACGAGAAAAATAATTGGTTTAATAGAATTCGGCAAATATTCATTGGAAACAAGTATGGATGGCAGAGAATAATGTTCGCATACAAACCCTTAAAGATTATCCCACAAGTGGTGGAGTGGGAGAGTGTAGGCATACAGAGAGAGAGAGAGAGAGAGAGAGAATGTAAAGCTATGTTGAGATTATGGAAATGTTAATACTCTGCTTTATTGATTTTTGTTAAACAACAGAAATACTGTTTTTTGTTTGTTAATTATATGCAAAAATGGTATTCATTTAATATATTCTTTATTATTACAGGAATTAAACGATGCAAAAAGTTTTATAGCTAAATGTCTGTCCAATTAATCAATGGCTCATATACTGTATATGTATGAAACAAGTTTTATTATGAAAGCAATCATTTATTTGCAAAATTAGTTTAAATTCAAACACAAATAGCTATTTATAAAAATATATAGTTTACTATAAATTAAGCCGAAAACACAGTATCTATTACTTTAATGGTAACGATTCTATACAAACACGATTTAATAGACTTAAATACAGCGAAGATTTTATTTTTGTATTTATTTTTAAATTTGTCATTAATTTTGATGAGTTCTTCCAAACCAGTAATAGTGATGACTCCCAAACCCTTTCCAACCGATGTTTCCAATGAATATTTGCCGAATTCTATTAAACCAATTATTTTTCTCGTCATTTCACTTGTCTTTTCATTTTCAAATTCAACTTCTGTTTTGTTAAACATGTTTTCGATTTCGGTTTCGTTGGGAATACAGATGTAATCAAACTCTTGAGGAACTCCTCGTCCGACGCATACAATTTCTACATTAATTAAAGCATTGCTTCTCTTTTCTATTGAATCCAAAATATCACTCAAAATGTTTGAACGCAAGTCTTTTGATAGTTTTGAAAGTATTGACGCATTTCTGATCACATAAAACGGTTCCTCAGTGTCTGAATTTAACAATGTTTTAAGTTTAGCCACTTTTGTCTCATTCTCGTCGACATCAATGAACCCAAATTCGGGGAACAGTAGTGAAGACGTATTCAACGAAATCATTTGTAAGTCATGCAGTCCTCCCACTCTATGGCCTCTGTTTTCTGTAATCTTATTCCATAAACTCTTCGCCGATTCACTCAAAACAATCAAATCAATCACAAAACGATTTGCAAACGCTTTGTGTTTAATAATTAAAGCGAAATCAAGAGTAGTGGATATATTTGGCTTTGCATTGGTTTCGAGTATTTCATTGAATAGATTTGTTTCACTCGATTGTATAGAAGACGTAATGTTGTCTTTATAACGAAAATAGTGAACACAATTATCACTCAATTCGTCTATTTTCAAACTGTCGGTGAAATTAAATGCAAATCGTTTGGACAACAATTGTAGTCCTTTTGGACCAATTATTCTAAACCTTTCCAATTGATGGCTTCGATCAATAAATTTGAACTCATTTGGAAAGTATTGTTGCGAACATTCAATCAGTAATTGTATTACTTTATCATAAACTGAAATATGAGACCAAATCCAGAGTTTAGAAAAGGATTGATTCCACAGGAATGCTGTCGAGACCAACGGCTTTAAAGGGTAGGACTCGTAGGCATACAATACAGTCATTCCCTCTCTATTTCCCGATTCGTAAAGTTTTGCTCCAAAAGTACAGCCAATATCTGAATGAATGAATTTTGACAAAAAACTGACCAATTGTTGTCTTCCAGACATCGAGTAATCGATTTCAATGCAGTTATAAATCGACAGATAATTAAATACAAAATCTTGTTTTGAGTTGCGATACAAAAGGCGTTCATTTTTAGTGCAGTTCTTGATTGGAGTCAAACGATTGAAATACACTTTCATTTTGAAACGTTTGGCAAACCATATGTGAAGAATAGTTCTCTCCTTCTTCTCATTCCTTCGTTTGACACTTAATTCGTGTTTCCTTTCATTTATGTGTTTCTTCTTCTTATTGTTAGTCTTCTTCTTCTTGCTATGGGTTGAGAGAAGAGCCGACGGTTTGCTGTCGTGAATGACTCGTTGAATATATTTGGGAACTCTCTTCGGGTTATGACTCGCAGCTCGTCGTCTCATAAATCGTGGTAATCGTTGAGACATCAGTTTCGGTGATTTAGTCCTGCATTCAGTGTTCAGTGAATCCAATTCAAGGCAATGGCTTTCCATTCGCTTCAGTAAATAGATCTCTGAATTCAATTCAATTTAAATATATGTAATTCACTGTTAACTCATTAATGAAGGTATCATTGAATGGCAAACCTGTGGACATTGAAGAAGTCGATGGTTCACCACTTGACGATACAATTGACGATACATTCATTTTGACACAATTGTTACGAAACTTCACTAAAATTAAAATAAATTATAATAAAAATAAATTTCAAGTTTTGAATCAAAACAACTCTCAATTCAAAGCATTGTTTGTGAGACACGTGACAAACACGTGACTCATTCAACACAATATCATTCAAAAGTTTTATTTACATGTTTTGAACCAAACATTTGATGCAATCTTCACATCATTTTAAACATTGATTACTGAAGAGTGAAGACAATTGATATGATATATAAATAATGTGAAAATTACTCATTAATTGTAACATAAAATGCGAGCTTTAGTTAAGGTTTTGAATTTGAAACAAATGTCTTATGAAAAGGCATTAGAGATTCAAATGAAATTAATGTCTGATATAAAGAACTCGTTGAAGAGTGGATCCGATAGAGTGGACAATACATTGATATTAGTTGAACACAAACCCGTCTACACAATAGGTCTGCGGAACAAAGCATACGACGATCGGGAACTGTCTTCGAGATTAAGAGGTTTGGGGGCGGACTTTGTGGCCACAAATAGAGGCGGTTTAATCACTTTCCACGGTTTGGGACAACTAGTCGTTTATCCCATACTATATTTGGGATCATTTAATGTTAACAAAAGCATCAGATGTTATGTGAGAGCATTGGAGACAACAATCATTGATTTGTGCCAATCGTTTGAAGTGAACGCTTCAGTCATCGACGGATTGCCCGGCGTTTGGGTCGACAACGACCGTAAGATCGCCGCCATTGGTATTCATTGCAGTAATTTTGTGACAACTCATGGATTGGCTATCAATTGTAACGTTGATCTAAAATGGTTTGAAGAGATCATTCCCTGCGGTATTGCAGACAAAACGGTTACTTCGCTTTCAAATGAACTCAAACGCAATGTCACTGTCGAGGAAGTGATCCCCAAATTCTTGCACTCATTTCAAAATCAATTTAATTGTGATTTTAAATAACTGCTCTCTTTATAGATCTTATTGTTTACTATTTATAGCATTTATTTGTCTTTTCAATTATAGTCTTTAGTATTCAAAATTTGTTATTAAATTAAAACAATTGTATAATTAACTAAATAATAAAATTAATTGATTTAATTAATAAATTTAAGTGGAAATCAATTAAAATATAAAATTTTATACAATTGAATAAATGAAACGTAAAACACAATTTATTTGCTACGAATAAAAATTTCCTGAATCACGTCCATTACATTTTTGTGTCCAAATCATGTGCCGGTATTTCGGTACAAATAGTTAATGTAATTTTCCAGATTCTATTGGATATTGTAATTCTGGTTAAATATCCAAAAGATACAAAAGATATGAATGTTAGTGGAAGTATTCTTACGATTTCGTTAGCAATTGAAAATAATGTTAAAACTCATTTATGGCATTAAACTTAAGCATTGACAAATATATTTCAACGCATAAAATGAACTTAAACTTCAAATGCAAGTTTGCAATAAATTAATTTTCAAGATTATTTGTTAATCTAATTAAACTCAATGTATGATTGTTTTATATGAGTGTTAAGCGAAACAATTAAATATTTGAACAATTCATAAAATAAACTTATATTTCAGATTTTAAAAAACTTATCATTCAATTTGAGTGATTGATTATCACTGGAAATACATGTCAATAATTTATAATCCACAGAAAAGGCGTATAATAGATAAGTTATAACTAAATATACAAATAGAGATAACTTATAATCAATTTGAAGTGATTGAAGTGCGGACACCATCTTTCAAAGTCTTTCAAACAAAGACTTCTCATTTTATTTTAAGTTATTTTAACTGACATTTTCTGTATTTTAATTTAATTTTTCTCTTTAATATTCAACAATAAATGTGAGATATTATATATAATTATTATATTTTATGTTTAATTAACATGTTATTTTTTAAAATTTAGTTTCAATCGCATATAAAATATTTTTATTTTTACTGTTATATAAATTAATTTTTTTAATTATTAATTTTTAATATAGATTTGTTGAAAAGTTCTTGAAATGTTTAAAATGAAGTGTTTGCTAAAATTTCTATTATATTCAGGTAATAATTTTAAATGTTTATAATTTGTACAATTACTTACAAATTGAAAATAATTTAGCGGCACTTATTGTCGCTGGAAGTTATGGAGAAGAGATAGAAGCGCCACAATTTGGTGATACCTATTACGTTGAAGCCGTGCTATCGCTTCCTTATGCAGAGATCAAAGAACCAGTTGTCGCTTATTTCGACGGATCTAATAATAGGAGTCGAGTTGACTATTACGGAGATTTAGTTCAAACCATACAAAGAGCCGATTTATCGGACGGAGGCGTTAACTATAAGTTTGCTTATATGGTTGACCCCAAAGGAAACGCACAGAAAGTGTGTTTTCGTATAAATGGCACTAAAGAAGTTCCCGTCTCTTCTCAACCACTTTTACCCGATTTAACGGCATTTAAAAAGTCTGGAACTGAAATCTGTTCCGATTTGTTCGGTCTCTTACCAGCGAAAGCTGTTTGTGAGCGATGGGAATATTCTGTCACTTATGGCGAGAAAAGCAATAAATATGTATTTTGGCTCTTGAGAGACAGTAAAGGCAATCCCAGTCCAGTTCAGTATCTAATGCAAGGCTACGATTCCCTTCTCGGCTCACATTATGATAAATATGAAGTGTTTTACAAAAATTATAAGTCCGGTGCTATTGATCCGCAAGTTTTTGATTTACCGACAAACTATACGTGCAGATCATTCCCAGGTCCTGGCGTTGAACACATTGGACATCACAATCCCATCAGAGAGTTTATAAATGGAGTGGAAAGTCATGTCGACATTGAATTTACTAAATTTCAGAACAAACATAACAAAAGCTATACGAACTCAACCCATGAAAGGGGACGCAAAGAGATCTTTAGACAAAATCTTAGATTTATTTCATCGAAAAACAGGGAAAATATTCGGTACAGACTTTCTGTCAACCATTTGGCAGATATGACTGATTTCGAGATCAAAAATTTAAGAGGAAAACAATATTCAGGCGTCGCTTACAATGGAGGACAAGATTTCGATAAAACTCAATATTCCTTTGAAGCAATACCTGAAGAGTGGGACTGGAGATTAAGTGGTGCCGTCACTCCTGTCAAAGATCAGGCCGGTATGTGTTCTCAAACTATTTATTGCCAATAATTATAATAAAATGTTGTTTTTCAAAAGTTTGTGGATCATGTTGGTCTTTTGGTGAGTTGATTGAATCTATTGCTTATGGTTAGAATTGAATCAATTGGTATGATTGTTGTTTGTTAGGCACGACTGGCACTATAGAAGGGGTTTATTTTGTAAAGAGCGGTCATTTAGTGAAACTTTCAGAGCAACAGTTGATAGATTGCAGTTGGAATGAAGGCGACAATGGATGTGATGGCGGAGAGGACTTTAGAGCCTATGAGTATATAATGAAAGCAAACGGATTGTCAACTGAAGACGATTACGGCCACTATCTGGGAGTTGACGGCAAGTGTCACGACAAGAGTGTGAAGAAAACAATTCATTTGAAGGGCTTTTATAACGTGACTTCTGGAGACACGGAAGCGCTGACAACTGCTCTCTACTACGAGGGACCCGTTACTGTTGCCATCGATGCCTCACATAAATCGCTCTCATTTTACTCGAGTGGTGTATATTATGAGCCCAATTGTGGTAATAAACCAGAAAATCTTGATCATCAGGTCTGCCCTCAAGTCTTCTATTAGTGGACACATTCTTATATCTGTCATATATTTGTCAATAGGTTCTGGCGGTTGGCTTTGGAAGCCTTAAAGGGGAGAAGTATTGGCTCATTAAGAACTCGTGGTCTACTTATTGGGGTAATGATGGCTATGTCCTCATGAGTCAAAAGGAGAACAACTGTGGTGTCACTACTGAGCCTACCTTTCCTATCATTGCTGATCACTGAATGCAATCAACACAATGTCATTGCTTTCACACATTTATTCTTTAATTGCTTTTCAATTCCTAAAGTTTCGCTCAATTTTTAAATAAAAAATATCCAAATGTTTGCAATGATTTAAAACTACAATAAGTGTAATAAAAGTGTTTGAATGAAAGTTAGCGCAAATTATTCAATAAATTTGAAACACATAAACAATCTTTTTATAATTTTTTTGTGTACATATATTTAATTATAGAATCTATGTTTATTCTTTATCTGTTCTATACATTATTAGATTCTATATTAGAAAATTATAAGATATAGTAACTATCTGATATTATACTGTACATGTAATAATACTGGGTCTATGACATTTGCTCGAAAATATTAGCTTAAATTATAAAATTAACTTGTTAAACCTAACCTAACTTAACCAAACTAACCTAAACTAACTCATATACTTTTATTTGATAATATTGTTTGTAATACTGTATTTACTAATACTACTGTACTGTATATAGGGGTCATATATGAGATGCCCCTTACGTTATATACAGCGTCCGCCAGAGATAAACTACATACCTGGGCGCTGACATTATCATAACATGTGTGAGTTGCTGAGCAACGCAATACAACTTTGGTTGAAAACCGTTGAAGACAGCAAAAGTTGTATTGCGTT